ACAAATATGGTATCACAATTCCAAGCTAAAGGCTATTCAACAAACATACTTAATGAAGCCCTATCCAAAACCTCAAGCCTAACAAGAGAACAGATTTTAGCAACAAAACTAAAAAGCACTAACAACATTAGAAGCTCCGGCGTTTATAACCAGATATAATAATCATACTCAGGAATTCAAAAAAATTTTACAAAAAAATTGGAGCATACTAAAAGGTGATCCCCAATTAGATCTAATACTAGAAAATAAACCTAGGATAATATATTCTAGAGCTCCAAATTTAAGTCTATCATTAGCCCCCACTACTAAACAAGAAAAAACACAAGAAAATACTACCATCACCACAAACAAATCTTCAGGTTTTTGGAAATGTGGAAAATGTAAAGCTTGCAAAAATAATCCAAATCAACCAATTAAAACAACACAATTTGCTCATCCCCAAACACAAGATTCATTTAAAATTAAATCACAACTGACATGTAACACTACTGGCGTAATTTATTTGTTAAAATGCCCCTGTGAGAAATTATACATAGGGCGCACTAAAAGAGCATTTAAAACAAGAATGGGAGAACATATTAGGAATATCAGAAATGGACTTTATTCACACAATCTTTCAAAGCACTTTGATGTCAAACATAAGAGAAATCCTGAAGGCCTTATATTTATGGCAATACAGAAAGTAAACATCCCATGGAGAGGAGGCGACTTAAATAAAGAATTAGATAAAGCAGAAGCAAGCTGGATATTTAAATTAGATACACTAGAACCAAAAGGACTTAATATAGATTTTGAGTTGCGAGCATTCCTATAAAATCGAAAATATTTATCTTTTTAAACCTGTTCTTATCTTCTCATCTTAATATTCAATATTTACACATATATTTTATTTACTGTTCATTCTCATACTACTGATGAAAGTTTTCTCCATATCAAAAGTCTTAATCTTCATTTGCATAAACAAACACTGTATAATTTTCTAAGATATCTGTATTATCATTTTAATATGCAGTTATACTACTTTTAACATGTTGTTACACCACATAACATTATTATATCCTTTTAATGATGTCACCCTCATTTTCTAAAAACAATGTTATCTTCTAATGAAATATTTTTAGTGAAGTGTTAAATTTTCTTATAATTCTTTTTATAACTTTTTATAATAACTTCTTAGAATTTTCTCCTATAATGTGTTTTATATGATGAAATATATTCCTCAAAGATCAAATTTATTATAAGAATATATATGTACAGTATTAAAACAATTTTAATAATTAGAGCAAGTATGAACATAAGCATGAAAGGGTTAACATAAACTGAAGCAGCAATCAGCTATTTAAACCCGTGGGTTCTCCTTGCACAATATCCTCTGATGAAGTGAGCATTAGACTCACGAAACGCGTAAGGACTTCAACACTTTGTGGCACTTATCGCAAAGAAGACCGGGCTTCACTTGGAACGCAGGAGATCGGTGACACGGACGCGGCTATCCACAGGTCCATTCATCTGCCGGCGGACCGAAAAGAACAAGCTGCAAACACCAGGTTCTCCAGATTCCAGTTAAGCACTTAGACTCTTTGCGTTATTGTAAGTGCACAACTTTTCTTTTTTATCCAATAAACGTATTTTATTGCACTTAGCACTTCGGATTTTGTTTCACTTTATGTGAGCAACATGGAACTTATCTACTAAACTACAGATCATTAACCATGATCTGTTAGCTATTATTATATTTTTTACTAAGTACATACAATTATATATCAACTGCAAACTGGCTTATATATATAATTTTGTACAATACTAAATTAGCTCATTCAGCTAACATATTCCAGTTCGATCATAACTGGAGAAAGCTGTAACAGCTAACAAATCACAGACCACAGTGTCATTTTGAAAGAGACTATTGTATCAGTACAGAGACATTTCTACTACTAAGTTATATATATTTTCTACATATTTCAGATACATGTTTTAATCAATGCATGGTAACAAAAGGTGAATTATTGTACTATTTGTATTAGATTTCTATTATTGTCTTTTACAAGTTATCCAATATCTGCTTCATATATTGCCCATTTAAAGGAATACCACTCCTGAAATTTATTGGATTCTAATCTAATATTTTACTTTCTTATTGCATTTAAAGGGTTTTTATAGTGGAACCCTTTCTTTCAGTTGAAGAGGTTTTTTCTTTAAGCCAAATTACATACTCTTACATTTAAGGTCCATATTTGAACCTTATTTTACCCTTTTCCTTTTACACATAAATACATGCTTACATTCAAACGCCAATGCCACATACAAACATATTCCATACAAAAACCTGTTTACATTGAAACACACAAAAACAGCTTAGTGCTAAATACAAACCTGCAAATATGGATAAATGGTAGAGCCCCAGCTGTCAAGGCATTGCTGGAGTTGCACAACAGGTGGGGATCTACCTTTTAAACATCCTTGCAATAGGGAGGCCCAAAAAAAAATTCTTGCACCTCTCTACTTTAGGTAGCCACTGCGTTAAGGGTGATAACGTGTTTGCACGCCTGGGGAGGGTGTACATGGTCCAGGGGGCCCAAGCAAATGTTTTGCCCAGGGTTCAATCAATATTAAAGACGGCCCTGCTCTTATACACTTAATATAATACTGATCTGCCTACCGACTCAAAACAGACTCTGAGGCCCATGCCTCTAGAATGCAACAGTGGGTGAAAAGGTTTAGTGGCTATAATGGCCATATAACATACATAAGAGTACATATGAGATATAAGACATACGGTTAAAGAACCATACTTATGGAATTCTGAGGAGGATAAGTACTTAAGCATATATAATTAGACAGACAAATACAGGATAAGCAATCGGCCCCACCTGTGCCACTAAGAGTACAGATAGCGTCCAGTTTGAGTCGGTTACCCTTAGCTCCTAATTGAGACTCCAGGGGTCTTTCAGGGCTTAACCCTAATATAAACTAAACAGAAAAAAAACATGGACATATAATACAGTGATTCTCTGCAAAAGAAAAGGTGAAAATCACTGTATCTCCTGGAAATAAAAGTAGTCGTAGTTATGATATCTATGTGATAATACGAGACCTGCAGCTAGGTAGAAGTCAAATGCCAAATGAGATCTTGACATAAAATAATATACAGCAAAAAACAAATAAAATCAACAACCTAGTTAGGTATGTTCATAAGTTTACATATATGTAGAAGCTCAAAATAACAGTATCCAGACAGAGTACAAATGTATAAAAAAGTAGCTTTATTGAATTGGCTCTCAGTGTGAGAGAACTCTACTGGGCTGTATATTTAATAAAGGCTGCTATATAGTGAAAAATCTGTCCCGGTAGAAAACATAACATGTGAGGTTAATAAATACTAGAAACAGAATATCATTGCTTGTGTTAGGGACTAATAGCCTAAAGGGCAGAGTAGGAACTTCCTTCCCCAGAATATTGATATCGGTCAATCGAGAGTACCAGTCCAGAATATTCACCTAGTATCTAAAGCCTAAAGATACATATATATATATATATATATATAGTATCTATAAGGTACAAAAGTAACCTAAAAAGAAATTATTCATATATAAACTTGTATACTTAATATATACCTGGGAGAAAAATGCTAGCAAAGTATACTGGTAGAGAGGAAAATAGATAGTCCAATGCCAGTCAAAAGGAACTGTAAATAATTAAGTTAAATAGCTTCTCTTCCTTCAAAACTAGCTAGACAGACATAGAAGCAAAAAGTAATAAAGAGAATTATAGCAACATGCTATTCAAAGAAATGTGCTTAAAAAACAAATGTGCTGTGCCCAGTGCCCATAACCCATGCAGAAGAAAGCCCAACACGCGTTTTGGTGCAATGCTAAGTGCACCTTCGTCAGGGTAAAACAGTGTACTGTCCAAGATCCGTATTATATACTAAAGGCCCCATGTGAATTCAACGGTGATCCGCCAATTAACTATCTGGGTATCAAACAGGGGGTGTATGTACAGTAATTATTACGAAGAAAAGAGAGAAATACAGAAAAACTCAGAGGATGCAATATCCCAGTCCTGTGAGCTTAAATGTATAGTAAGGCCTTAAGGCCCAAGACCAGAGGTTGTAACAATTTGTCCAAAAACTGACTGGCTCTCTCAGTCAGACAGTGGTTACCTGAGACAATAGATCTCCCTGGGGGGTTATGTTGATCTTTATGTACCTTTGAGAGACAGTAAAAAGTGGCAATAGTGATGTTAGACTGAGACACAATAAATCTGTATTCATTTTGAGTAATTGTATTCTCTATTAAGGCTCCCTGTGCTAGTGACTGTAGTTCCATGAGGAACTTTTTGGTAGGGTCAGCTTTTAGTATCTGATAGGCACTTTCATCTGTTAAATGTTGCATACACATGTTTACGTACTGGTCCCTCTGCATGAGGACAATGTTGCCTCCTTTATCAGAAGATTTAATTATGACCTCAGATGCTGCACTCAATTCTTGTAATGCTTGTCGTTCTGCTGTTTTTAGATTAGAAATATGTCTGTTGAGGAATTTGACCTTCTAGTTCATTTGTGCAAATCTGGACAAATAAATCAATACATGGAAATTCCTTTAAATTCGGAGTAAACCAACTAGGTGGTTTAAAGTTAGTGAGTGAATTAGATGTTTCTTGCTCTGAATATAGATCATTGAGGATTTTATATACAGCATTGTCTTCAGGAGAGAGACCTAATTCTTTTAGCTTTTTAAGGTTAATTTTTTTTCATGTAAAGCATGTAGAGCTAATTTTCTGCCAAAGAGTTTACATCTTTCGCCCAGTCAAACATATTTCTGGAGGGAGTCGGTACAAATGAAAGGCCTTTTTGTAGGAGCAATATGTGTCTACTTTGCAAATTAAAATTGGACAGATTTATTATTTTATTATCTTGTGACTGCACGTCTATTGATAGCTTGGTTTGTGTGTCTTGTACCCCCATTTTTTCCTGTCCCTGAGTCTCTCTCTCTGTGGTTGTGACCATTCCTGGTCTAAAAAAGCCGATGATGGTTGAGATGGCCCTAGGTTAGATTCATGTCTGGAGTTCATAAATGAAACAGGGTCAGACGGGGGTCTAGAAATGTAATGTTTCTGTCTGTATTTCTCAAAATCCCTCTAGTCTGAGCTGTAGGTGTAGATAAGTTAGATCTCACAGAGGGCCTTTTAAAACAGCAAGGTCTGGTTTCTGATTCGGACCATTCTGTTTCATCAGATGAGGAAAATCCTTTAGTGTTCAACCTATTGTTAGTAAATCTTCTTTTATTTTTATTTTTAAAGATGTTACCTTCTTGAAAGTCTCTATAATCCCTTTGGAATTTGTAGTGCTTTTTTTGTCTGATGTTCTTTTTAAAATTTTCTAAAGTTTTATTTAGCTTAGTTTCCATAGCCCCGAAGTTTGGTTCTTTATCAAAAGTTTTAATTTTCTTAATTTCTATATCTAGTTCCCCATTGGTCTTATCCAAATTCTCCTGTTCAAGTTTAATGAGAAATTGCATTATATTTGCTGAACACTCTAACAGAATAGAATTCCATTCCGCTATCTGTTCTTCTGTTTTTACTTTAAATTCATTCTATTTATTCTATTCAAGCACTACCTTCTTATTTTTATAGGGGACTTCTTTCAACCTCTATCTAACATTTGAGTCCCTCTCTCCTCTTTTGTCCAGATCATTATTTATGTGGTATTTTATAAGAATTATTAAAAGTTAGGTTTTATTATATTAGAGGTTGCTTACTATACATTTAAGCTCACAGGACTGGGATATTGCATCCTCTGAGTTTTTCTGTATTTCTCTCTTTTCTTCGTAACAGTTTTATACTAGGGGTTACCCCCCAATTATCATTAGCAACCTGACACTCTTTCCCTATCGCCCTTTCCTTTCTTTTTATGTACAGTAATTAGATTCGATTAGCCCCAGAAGCTTATATCATGGCGTCTGCAAAATCCACACTACTTGCATAGTGTTTCGATTGGGTAACCGCAATAGATGGGAGGAGCATTCTGATCCCTCCCCACATGGTACAATCAGGGCATTTGTATCACAGCTGTAAAAAACTCCAATAAGGAGTCAGCAGGCGGGCATAAGTCACCTAAGTGAATGTACTTGCCCATCTTAGCGAGCCACAAACTTAACTTAGCAGCTGCAAGTGGGCAGAGCCTGTGAATACGAAGCTTAACTCCCATCACTTCATATTCGCCTATGTCGACCAGAGTGGGAGGAGTTGATCGTCTCCATCAAAGACTCTGCAAAAAAGATTCAAATATTGTGTTACATACATAATTAAAGTTAAGGTGATTCAAACTTCAATCAACCAAGTGTCTTAACTTGTTAGAAAGCCAAACGGCCAAATTGTATAAAATAGGAGTCAAATTGCAAAATAAAAAGTGTAACACTTTGGTACAGTAGCCACATAGACCCAATGTAACCCTTTAATACAGTACCCACATTCAACCTTAATAAAGTATCCACCGGGAAAAGAATATAAGGAGGACATGGGACATATGTACAGGCTAAAATATATGTATAGTGTCCATTGGTACGTGAAAGTGATGAATATAGGATCCATATTGGATAGTCCTGGAGAGTAGATATTAAGTAGATATTAAGTGGTGAATAAAATCATATGTTGAAGGGACAATGGATATTGTTACAATATGATTCGGGCACTACTATGTATTCATAATTCAGCAGTGTGCCGGGGGTCAAGTACCCACTTGACCACGTGAATACATATTAAGTAGTGACGATATACATTAGTACCTACATGTACTCCATATATATGGTAAACAAATACAATACACAAACAACTATAACTACTATTTACATTATGTACAACTGAATCAGCCGTGAGGGGTGATGCAAATCACTTATTCATAAAAGCTCCATAAAAAACAGTTGACTCCCAAAACTGTGTATCGTCCAGTTGTTGGGGAATTGGGATGGGATTGCTGCGCTAAGCTTCTCTTGGATATTATTGAAGTCTACCAGCGGAGATATTAAAGTTAATACTCCTACTCCACTACAAGAGGTATTCAGAATTGTCGTAGTTGATGGAGAATAATGAAAAGGAGCTATACACCTCAATTTCTTTCACTAGTTCAGATAGGGAGTGCAAGGGGTGAGTCAGGAAGAATAGCAAGTAATCTGTGTAAGAGGTAATTTTGTATTCAGTTTTCCCAGCAGTGAAGCCGGTGATTGTTTTGTTGGCTCCAACGGTGTTTAGGAAGGGCTCTAGGGTAAGGGCGAACAGCAGGGTTGAAAGCAGGCATCCCTGGCATGTGCCATTATTTATGTATACCAGTTGTGAAAGGATGCCATTCACTCAAATCCCTGGCATAAGGCTGCGAGTAAAGTGCCCCCACCCATTTCCACCATGCTGGACCGAACTCAAAATCCTGCAATATCCCTTTCAGGAAGGACCAGTCCACCCGATCGAACACCTTTTTGGCATCTGTAGATAGAAATACAGATGGGCGGTTCCTGGAATGCCCCACTTTAAACCGTTGATTGAACACCCTGGTAGTGGCTTCTAGTAGTAGTGGGGATGAAGCCCACATGATATGGACCGCCCCCCTCCCCAGGAATGGTCCCAGTCTGTGAATAGTTTCAGATTGCAATTTAATAAATAAATTCGGTAGTAGCTGCCACAGACTTCGGGATCTTTACCCGGCTTAGCAATAAGGGTGATATAAGCGTCTAGAGTCTGGGGAGGGGCCCTATCTTTGTCCAGAAATGTGTTAAATGCTTTGAGGAAGTATCACGTCAGCAGTGAGGGAAACTGTTTATAGTATTGGGAAGTTAAGAAGGTATGGACTAATGAACCTTCATTACAGCGGATTTTAGCTATGTATGTTTGCTGGTGATGTTTGAAGGCTTCTCGCTAAGTGTTTGCCACACTTGTTGCTGTGCTGGTAATATACATGTTTAGTGATTAACATAGAATGTTTAGCACAGGTGTATAATAGGTCGTTCAGATGCAGGCTGGTATCCGTCAGTTCGTTAAGAGTGTCAGGGGCGAGGACTTGTTTGTGTCATTGTTCAAAAGCTTGCAGTTTTGTTAAGAGTGTTTGGATGTGTTTGGACTTTTGTTTTCTGTCTGTGGTGCCTATTCCCCCTTAATCACGCATTTGTGCACATTCCACAGTGTCCACGTGTTCCTTCTTCCTGATGTTATAGTCACTGGGTATTGCTACACCCAACACAACTGCAGTTTGTCTTCGTTGTCTATCACCACAATGTCAGGCTGGTTTACCAGTACTTGCTTGTTTGTCTGGATCTGGAAGTCACACGGGATTTTAGCTGTGTCATTCTCAACTATTCTTTGTGGTATCTCCCATGATGACTTGGGCAGTTCCAGTCCACATTCTGAGCACATGTTTCAGCACACAATCCCAGCAACTTGGTTGTGTCTTTCAGTGTATTGTTCCTGCTAACATCTTGCAACTTGCCACTATGTGCTAAATTGTTTCATAGATTCTTTGTACCTTGAGCCTTGCCTTCCATTTCTGCATCCTCCATCTGTTGTTGTCTCAGGCGTTTTCTTAGCAGTTCATCTGTGGAAGCCATCTCCTCCTTCAGATATCACCACAGGAAGAAATTGGGAGGTGTAAGGTTGAACAAAAGTGGCGACCAATTAAATTGTGAATTTCTTGAAATTATACGCTCACTGAACAGGTGTCTCAAGATGTCCATTGTGGCCCTTACTAGCTCACACAAATACAATTCTACTATTTTTATTTGTTCCTTTGTGAAATTACCTATGATGAATCTCCCAAGCCTTGTACTTTTTGCTATGCACTTATATTGCAGATAAGATACAAATTACCAACAATATTACAAATGTCCACAAACTCGATTTAACATATTTAGTGGATGTGTCCAATGCAGCTCCTTCCTTGGATATGTATCCTCCACACTCCATAGTGAATCATTCAGTATTACAAGAAATCTGTAAAAACAAGCACAAACAGGGACCTTAATAGTATACTATGTTTTATTAATATAATAATTCAATGATAGTAATGGTGAATGACTCTGTAAATCTTTTTTAAAATAATAGTAATTTACACATTCACAGAAATTGATTTTTATTTTAAGTTATTTGATGTTTTAATTAGAAATATGTATTATCTCCATTTGTATTATTTTCTTTTTTCTTTTTTATGTTTATGATCGTCAAGTTCTGTTCTTATAGGATCGTTTTATTCTTTAGCGCTTCCAAAGCTATTCGCATGAACACCATTTAAATGGAAAGAACAACATCTCCAACCTATAGATGCTTGAAAATGAGAAGAAAACTCAGTATGTCCTCTTGGGTACAATGCTTTGATAACTATACAAAGGATCTGACAGATAATTAAGGACATTGTTCTCTGACAGTAATGGCATTGCTGCTCCTTTAGTACATTTTGTCACATCCTCTTTGATTTTGATTCTCAAACCATTCCTCAATGATTGCATGCTTCCCAGTATTTCTGGATTCTCTAGTTTGACTTAAGTGGAAATATCCATAAAACAGATCCCTCCAAAAAATTTCCAGAAATGCTGAACACTGCAGGAGAAAGTCACACTGTGCGTCTGACTTCCTCCACTATAAATTTATGCTGCACTCCTACAGTCTGGCTCTTTCCTCGTCACAAGAAAACTACTTCAATACACTCATAACCACACTCTCCCGCGAGCCCAAACAACTGCTTCATACTCTTTTCTGCTCCCTGTCGTGCCTCCTCCTCCTACCAACTTGACTGCCACAAACTTTGCAACTTACTCCATTGAGAAGATTTCTACAATCAGGGAAGAAATCTTTCATCTCTCTCCACTACCAACTTTTCCCCAAACCACACTCCCTCAGCTGTCCTATGCTCATTTGCACCTGCTACAGCAGAAGAGGTTTCTGCTCTGCTCTGATCCACCCACCTCACCCCCTGTTCCCTTGATCCTATTCCTTTGTATCCCATCCATACTTTGTCTCCTTCTCTTGCTCTGCCTCTCACTAAAATTTTCAATCTCTCCCTCTCGCCTGGCTCATTTCCTCTCCTTCAAACATGCAACCGTAACCCTGATTCTAGAAAAGCCCAACCTTGACCCTAATTCCCCGTCCAACTGCCACCCTATCTCGCTACTGCCGTTTGTCTCCAAGATCTTTGAGAGAGTTGTGTATGCAAGATTGACAGACTTCCTCAAATCCAACTCTCTGCGTGATCCGCTTCAATCTGGATTCCGTGCACGTCACTCTGTTGAAACAGCTGTGACCAAAGTATACAATGATCTTATCACTGCTAAATCTCTATTCTAATTCTCCTCAACCTTTCTGCTGCTTTTGACACTGTTGATCACCAACAGCTTCTTCTCAACCTCCGTAATCTCTGTCTATGTGATACCGCTCTCTCCTGGTGCTCTTTCTACCTCTCTCAGAACTCATTCAGTGTTTCTTTCTCTGACTCTGCCTCTTCTCCCTAATCCCTCTCAGTCGGTGTTCCCCAAGAATCTGTCCTTGGTCCCCTATTATTCTCAATCTATACTACCTCCTTTGGTAAACTCATCAGCTCCTTCGGCTTCCTGTATAATTTCTATCCAGATGATAATAACATTTATCTGCCCTCCCCTGATTTCTCACCACTCCTCTTGACTCGTGTCTCTGACTACCTCTCTGGTAATTCCAACTGGATGGCTGCTCATTTTCTTAAACTGAACCTGTTCAAAACAGAACTTCTGGTCTTCCTTCCCTCAAGTGTTGCTACTCCCTTGTCTGTGTCCCTCCAAGTCAATGGCGCTACCATCCGCTTTACCTCCAGGGTTCGCTGCCTAGGTGTTCTCCTTGACTCCGACCTCTCCTTTACCCCCATGTCCAATCAATCACTAAATCCTGCCGCTTCCATCTCAAAAATATTGTGCGCGTCTGACCCTATATAACGCCTGATATGGCAAAGGTGCTTGTAAATGCCGCTGTCCTCTCTCGCCTTGACTACTATATTTAACTTTTATTTACCTTCAATATAAGTGGTCTTTATGTGTTCCCAGCTTGCCCCGTTACAGTCTATAATGAATGCGGGGGCGAGGCTCATCTTCCTGACTGCAGTCACATTCCGCGCACACCCCCCCACCCCTTTGTCAGTTCCTACATTGGCTTCCTGTAATATATAGGACTCAATTTAATATTCTGACACTTGCTTACAAATCTCTACACAATGCTGCTCCGACCTACTTATCCTCACTAATACACAAATATGTCCGGTCTAGGCCACTACGCTCTGCAGGAGACCTACGTCTAACCTCGGTTCGTACTCCTGCCTCTGATGCTCACCTTAAAGGACCACTATAGTGCCAGGAAAACATACTCGTTTTCCTGGCACTATAGTGCCCTGAGGGTGCCCCCACCCTCAGGGACCCCCTCCCGCCCGACTCTGGAAAGGGGAAAGGGGTTTAAACTTAACTTTTTCCAGCGCTGGGCGAAGAGTTCTCCTCCTCCGATCCTTCTCCATTCCGCCCCGTCGGCTGAATGCGCACGCGCGGCAAGAGCTGCGCGTGCATTCAGCCGGTCGCATAGGAAAGCATTTACAATGCTTTCCTATGGACGCTGGCGTGCTCTCACTGTGAAAATCACAGTGAGAAGCACGCAGCCTCTAGTGGCTGTCAATGAGACAGCCACTAGAGGTTTTGGGGAAGGCTTAACCCATTAATAAACATAGCAGTTTCTCTGAAACTGCTATGTTTATTAAAAAATGGGTTAACCCTAGCTGGACCTGGCACCCAGACCACTTCATTAAGCTGAAGTGGTCTGGGTGCCTAGAGTGGTCCTTTAAAGACTTCTCTAGGGCTGCACCGTTCTTTTGGAATGCCCTTCCCCTCTCTGTTAGATTGTCACCCAATCTCCACTCCTTCAAAAATCTTTGAAAACTTACTTCTTTAGGAAAGCATATCAATTAAACTGTGAACAGCTTTCCCACACTGATTCTGCTCCCGCAACTTTCATCAAAACAAAACACTAAGCCCTCAATGAACACTATCCCAGCAACCTACTTTTCTACCCTACTCTTACCTTTTGTGTCACATTACCCCACTTCCTCCAGCATGTAAGCTCATTGAGCAGGGCCCTCAATCCCTCTGTTATTGTGTGTCCAACTCGTCTGGTTACAAATACGTGTCTGTTAGTCCATCCATTGTACAGGGCTACGGAACTTGTTGGCACTTTATAAATAATAATAATATTATATAATATTTGAGGAATTGGTTGTATATTAGAAAAACACAAATATTTATTTAAGAAATAGAGTACATTATAAAGATGTTATTGTTTTATTGTCTTAACGTCAATATAAAATCAGTTTGTTATTATTTTTGTAATAATCTCCTATCTACTTATAAACTGTTACAATGATTTCAATGTATGCAGGTTCTATATAGCAATATATGTAACTCAGCCTGGGTACCTTGTAAATAGAAAATAAAGGGTTAATTTGCAGAATGTCCATTATCCACTAATTATCAGATGTGTGTGTGTATATATATATATATATATATATTTGTGTAAGGGGCAAATAGCCGTATATGGAGTAAGGTTCCAGCATAAGCATAGGACAGTACAAAGGGAGCAAGTCGGCTGTGGTGTGCCGAGTCCAACGATACGGTAGGCCGGTAAATAAAGGGCCCACCAAGGAGTAAGAAAGTAAAGTAAATGGAAAGAAAAGAGAAAGTGTTGAAATGAGGAGTGGGTGGGAGGGTCATTCTGATGCTGACCTCAAGCGATATAGAGTCAGGTAAGGGGTGTCCCTTATATAGGGGAGTGAATTAATTTAAGCCCCTCCCACAAATACAGGCCAAACGGCCTTAATACTTGTGTAAGGGGCAAACAGCCATATATGGAGTAAGGTTCCAGCATAAGCGTAGGATAGTATAAAGGGAGCAAGTCGGTTGTGGTGTGCTGAGACCGACGATACGGTAGGCCTGTAAATAAAGAGGGCAAAAATGAATAATCAAAGATTTAATACAGTCAACAAATATATACAAATTAACCAGACATTTCCTTAAATGCATTATGGTATTTAATTCCTGGAAGGGTTTTGAAGATAGGAATCTAGGACCGCAACTGGACACCATTTGTTGTGGGTAGAATAGTAGGTTATCTCTACTGTTGGTGCGTGTTGACTCATTTCAAAATGTGGTAGAGTCAATAGGTAATGATATATGTGTTTAGGTACGTGGGATCATTGAAGACAATGAGTGGTGGTGATGGTAGTGCATTCTCTGGCCTGAGAAAGGCATAGAAGGTAATGGCCGACTTGGTAGTATAATTGAATGGTTGTAGATCTAATAGGTCCGATAGGATTGAAAAGTTGGATGGCTATTGGTAATCTCTGAGAGGAACGTGGGGCAATGGATTCCTGAAAACCTCTGAGTATATTCTTGTCTGGTATGATAGCATGAAGTTATGGTAGTTTTGGCCATAGGTTATCCTGTGTTGTTGAATGCCTGTAAAATATATAATTAATGGTATGTGAGAGTTTTAGTTTAAGGTGGCAAAAAGAAGCAAAACCTAGGAGAAATGTTATGACACAGGTTGAGCTATGTCGTGTTCCAATAAGATTCTTTAAGCCAGGTGAAAAGCTGTGTTATGCATTCTACAAATATGGGACGCATGTGTTAGGTGGGATAGTGCATGCTATGCTGCATGAGTATGTCTAATCCATGATTTAGTCTCTGGAACGAAAGAGAGGCCATGACTGTATGGGTAGGAAGCATATGATGAACATGCCTGGAATATAAATGAGACAATTGTCGGCAAGGATGTATACCCCTGCCTGGTATATGAAAGTAAAAGATATGTGATAAGTGGCCAACCAAGTGAGTTCCCCAGAAATATCATGATCGTATGGATGATGATTGGCGTTTGTTGATAATATGACATGTGCTTAGTTGTCTGAGTAACAACAGATTGATGACCCTGACCATGATTTACCCCATTCCACAGCAGCTGCTACAATGGGGTAGATCCCCCAAAGGGGCTGATGTGGTGGAAAAATGTCCAAACCTGGATGCCATGGCCAACAGCTCCAAAGCAATCGTTCTCGGTAGATCGCTGCCAAACCCATGGTAGACGCCACATCTGACCATCTGGTTGGAGAAGTGTCAGACAATCCTCGAAAAAACATGCTTTTACCATGCCAAGTGGTTAAGAAATCCCCCCCCCCATGTGCAGGTCTGCTGGGGCTGGGGTGTCTAGGGACATCCTCTGATCATCATGTTGGAAGTGTGGAAAAAAGGGGAAAGTACTCTGGATGTGAAAGCGTGGTCTTGTGGTATGATTTGCATGGCAAAATTAAGGAACCTGGTAGGGATTGTAGTTCTTTGTGGTTGTAAGTACTAAACAGGAGGTAGTGATTGATGTAGTTGAGAATGTTCCCTATTTGTCTTGTGGTAACTTGCGTGTATGGATGCCGATTCAAGTCATTTGCCCAGTAATGTGATGATAATGTCTGGGCCTTCTGTTTCTTATGGGGTACTGGGACGCCCAAGTTGTCAACCAGACTAAGCTACCGTGAGGCATCTAGTGAAAAATATGTTATCTTTGAGCAACAAGAAGTCTTCTAGATAGTGTATGACTGTAAGGCCTCTGGATATGTTATCATAACCAGCACAGAGTATCTGCGAATATCGATAGTAGGCTAATCTGTAGCCCGAATGTTGAGCGGGGAAAGGATTGCCCATTTTATGCCATGTAAGTGCCAATGTGTAGGGTAGATGGTAGCTGTTTACTGCATTGATGATATTGGTCTTACTTAACCAAGCTTTAACCCATGCTTGAGTGATAGCTGTAAAGGTAGATCAATGGTGTTGTATAGTAAGGAAACTCCTCAGAGGGTATGAGGGAGTTGAGACTTGGGGTAGCGGAGGTGTGTGGTGCCAATAAATCTATGGTTAGTCTTTGTTTAAGGGAAGATTTCCTTGTGACAATACCAATGTGTTTGTGTTTGGTGCCGTGCTGTAAATGGTGGAGATGGGAAAACCCAAGCAAAAACCCCTCTGCAAATCTTGGCTATGGGTGTGTTTACAGCCGATGGTTCTGTTGTTCTGACTGTAAGTGAGGGCATGCTATATTCCTTGAAGGTGTAGTTATGATACCTGTATGGGGGCCCTTTGAAGCTCCAGAGCTTTAGTAAATCTACTACAAGTCTGGAAGGGTGATGAGTCAGTAGTGTTGAAAATGCATTGGTGTGTACAGATGGTGAGTACTTTTTTTGTAAGTTGTATTGGGACACATGGTTTGTCATGTGCCCTGAACCATTTGAACATATATGCAACAGTATATATGCAATGCAACTACTCATACCAATTGTCTATGGTAGTTCAGAGGTGCTGGTACCTGGAGCCGGAGAGTGCTCGTCCATTTATTTGGGACAAAATCCCTTCTGTAAGGGTACCTGCACAAATAAACATCTCTACATATTCCAAATGCCAACACAACCAAGGGATGGTCAGTTCCCGATTTACCTGGAATCCCTGGATCTGACCATCACAGATACATCATCATACATATATATGCCTTGTTTCCCCAATGTGCTGGGATCATATGTGCAGGGTTAACGTCTTGTGTGTCATAAGAATTGATTGTACCAGGTAACCGAGTTTCGGTTTGTGCTGGTTGTACAGTAGCGTGAGGCCCAGCCTTGTGAGGGCTGTGGTGACTGACTCGAGATTGCCAGTCTGTCGTAAAAAATTTTTGGCTCATGAGTTTATGAGTGATGCTAGCATGGCCTGGGTATCACCTGAGTTGGTGTTGCTGGGCCTTCCCCTGCCTTAGTGTTGTCCGTTGATGTATGGAGGAGTTTGAATAACTCTGCTTTCCTTGCTGTGGCAGGATAGGGGATTTGTCACCTCCTTAGGTCAGTGGTAATGTGTGGGATCGTCCAGGATCTGATTGCTGCTGGACTAGCAACATCTCTTCTGCTTGAAGG